TCTTCCTACACTGTAACGCCCTGAGGGCAGGATCCTAGTCTGTCTGGTGTACACAGCACCTAGGATTGGGTCTGGTGCATGGTAGGTATTCATCAAAAAAAACACAAAACTGTTGGATGGATAGGTGAATGGAGAACTGGCACACAGGGACTACTGCCATGCCCTCATACAAACCCAAATTCTACATTCACGTTCTGCCAAGTTCTGCAGTCACTGTACCTTGAGGGAAACAAGATGGAATAGACTCTCTGTCTAGATCTTGGGCATGTCTGAGAATAGGGTGATATAGGGTAGAGTGTTGGGACCATCACCTGAAGTCCCTGAACCTCACACCCCACATGTCTGCACATCTCTGTATACACTTAGCCCTTCCTAGGCAAGTCCCCAGCTCTAGCGTTTCAAGTAAGGGTTACATGTCTCTTGTAGGTCATAGAAGGTAAAGTGTATGACCCACATGAGACACTGTATCTGCCCATGGCGGCCACTTGGTTCCTTTATAGATACCTCCTTCTGTTGAAGCCTGAGATGGCTACTGTGGCAGGCAGGGTCATGGAAGGTGGTAGATAAGATTCTTGAGGTTCTTGGTGCTGTGCACGCTGTCTCTGGTCTTCCATGTCCATGTCCTGCTTCTATTGGCCTGCTTTGGGCTCTGCCAAAGCAGTGGCCAAGTTGTCACCTCACTGGGTGCAGCGAGGTTGTGAAGAGTCATGCCCAGCTACTTTGTGTGGGCACTTGCCAGGTACAGTACTTCCAAAGTCCTGGCCAGAGGGAAGGAAAGGCTGTCATTGACACTTAGGCTAGACACTGAAAAGTTGTATGGACAAAATATGCCAGCAGGCCTTTAGCATCCCAAAGTAGAAAGGCTAATGGGTTTCCCTTGTCTTACTCCATTTTCCGCTGCCATAACAGAATGCCACAGACTGGGTAAATTATAAACAATAGAAGTTTATTTTGATTCTGGCTTTTGATTCTGGAGGCGGAGAAATCCTAGAACTTGGTGCCAGCATCTGCCAGGGGCCTCTGTGTGCCTCATCATGGCAAGAAGGCAAGCAAACCCGTGGAGACAGAGAAGAAATCAGGCCCAACTCATCCTGGGCATCAGGAACTCACTCCTTTGACTACCTCCTCCCTCTAACCATGCCCCACCTGCCCAGTTTCTCTTAGTTCATTCAGCTTTCAAGGAATTCATTACTGATGCGGTCAGATCCCTCATGATCCAATCACTTCCCCAAATCTCTGCCTTTGAACACTGCTGCATGGGGGACCATGCCTTTAACCCATGAGACTCTGGGGAATATTCCAGATCCAAACCTTGACAGGGACAGATCTCAGGATTCACCCTCCTTGAACACCCTCTCCAGGGTCCACAGGCTTTCCTTCCACATTTGCTAAACCACGCCACCTGTACCTATCCTCTGAGCCTTGGCAGTCCCGTTCTGTGACACTCTTATCCAGGATGCTCATTTGAATCACATGGGGGAATCTTGAGCACCAACTGGTACAAATGGACCTGTTAGTCTGGCCGCCATCACGTTAATGTAACCATTCCCATTTCTACCCATGTTCAGTAAATTTAATTAGTGTTGAAGAGCAGCTTATTTGGCAAGATGATCAGTTTTTAACCTGGGTAAACGACTTTCTTTATGACTATAAATTAAGCACGTTATATCCTTTTCATGCGTCGCGGTCGTCCTCATAAACACTGCAGGCAGTTGCTCGCAGTCTCACTTGGTTACCTTTCCCATTACTGTTTTATCATCCTCCCGGTAGGAGTGGGGAATTCATTCTGTTTTAATGACAAGAAGGAGGTTAGTGGCGAGGGGCTTGCTTAATGAGGAAACCACCCGTTGGTCAGCATGTTGCTGTGTCTAGGGATCAGATTCCGGGCCTGCCCCTGTATGGGGGTTCTCAGCTTGCCGAGGGGCCTGCTGTCAACAGCCTTTGTGAAGGGAGCTCGCAGGGCTGTAGAACTCCTTTTGTCTTAATTGCAAATAATTAGGAATCAAATATTTGCCGACAGTTGATTTCCATATCAGAGAGAACCTGAGGGCTCTCGAGGAATACAGTGGCCGCAGGTTGTTGGCACAGGTGTTTTCTTAACACTGACATCTTAGGGCACGGCCCCTGGGAGGTGGCAGGAGTCACTCCTGCAAGCTAGGACGTGGGCATTGGATGCACACACGTGGCACTGGTCCTCAGAAATATTCACTACAATCTGGACATAGGGCATTTCAAAGGAGAGCATCAGGTAGAGCAGACTCCCCTGTCCGTGACGAGTGGGCTCTAGATTGACAGCCTGGCTGAATTCGATGGTCTCTGAAGCCCCATCTGCTCTGACTCTCCAGGACTCTGGTCCGTTTTACTGCCAAAGGCACACCATCATGGAAGCACCTCTACTTCTCGCCGCCATCTTTCCACCTCCCTCCTGCACCCAGGAGGAGGCGAAGGAGATGCACCTGCCCAAAACCAGAGCCTGTGGGGGCCCCACCACCCCAACCACCCCAGCCCCTAACCTGGTGTTAAAACAGAGGCACTGAATCTGTGTTCAAGAGATCGACTCTAAAAACTATCATTTTTCTTAAAGCTGAGTGTCCCAGGGCCATTTAAGAACTAAAGTCTAGCCCCTGTGGGGCCTCCTGAGGCCAGCATGTGGAGCAGACCCTCTGGGAGGGAACACTTGCACTTAAGGGCCAGTCGGAGCTGATCTAACCAGAGAGATAGAGCAGTGGGGGGATAGGCACAGCCAGAGCAAAAGCCCACAGCTGGCTCTGGAGGCCAGAGGCTCAGAGAGGAAGCTCTGTTGCTTCAGAGAGGGGTGATTCGTGGGTTCCCATCCTGCCTGCACAGGGAAGTTTACTAAAACAGTTATCCAACGGCAAGGCTTTGTGTCTTGCCCCATCTTGGAAAAGAAACAAAGGCTGGTATTTTTAGAGCCATGTTTATTTCTTCAAGTAGCTGTCAGCATTTTCTTGGGTAACCCATTTCCCAAAAACCCAGGAGAATCCTGCTAATCAAACACACTCTGTGGCAAAGCAGCAGAGTGAAGCCTGTGGGGAGGGTTCCCACCAAGACTCTGCCTTCAGCTCCTCCCCCGCCTCCTGCTCACCAGGGGTCACCCTCCAGGCAGGCTGCAGAGCCCTGGAGCCTAGCCTTCCCGGGTAAGAGGTGACAAGCCAACAATTAGCAAAGTAGATAAAGGAGATTCACGGGCCCCTGCTCAGTATCTGCACCTTTATACTGCACCGAGATATGTTGACCTTCTAGTTTATTGCAATTCAAGAAAAAGTCAATATTTCTTGGCTTGCCATGGCTGGAGGAATTTAAATGAGTTATTGAATCAAGCAGTTAATCTGCCGATAACTGATTTTTTTTTCCTTTCAAATCCATAATGATGAAAAGCAGACTTAACTAAAAACAAGAAAAGGAGGATTCTTTTTTTCCCTTAGACATTTTAATCTCATGGGGCAGGAGCTAAGGCTGAAGCCTCAGAGTCTACTATCAGGGCTATTTTGTTTTGCTGGGTATTTTGAAGATTTAATTAAAACATAAAACAAAAGATTTCTGTGGCTATAAAATCTGCATTCATATTTTCATTGTTTGTATTTTGATATCTCTTTATAAGTCTTAACTTTCCATCTGTTGCCATTAATGACACATAGCAATCGTCTAATTTTTGAACTCCTCTAAAGAAGTATAACGTTGTTTGGGGATACTTGTTTGACTTTCCATTGATTTATTAGTGCCCTTGTGCCAAAAAGCCACTGGGCCAGCTGCCCTGCCCTCTAGGTTATGAGCTCTGGGCACTGCTTTCCTGAGATTCTTATGGGTATGTGTTTGGGTGCAGGGGACATCCAAAGCAATGTACTGGCTTCTTACCTACACAACGACATTGTGCTGGAAAGTGCTGAGTAGGGGAAAGGCTTTTAGTGGCACTACTAATGATGTATGTCATGGAGAACCCTGTTTGTTGTCCCTGGAGGAAAAGGCTGACAACTCTTCCCACCTAGGCTGCCCTTCCACCCCCTTCCTGAACACTTGAGAGTATACTTCCTCTCTAGACTCTGCCATGGCTCCCTAGTGCCTAGAGTATCACACTTCAGTTTCTCTGCTTAGCTCTCTCAGTCTCTTAGAATCACACATTGCCTAACCCTCTCCCTCCCACCCCTGATAAAAACTCCTACTCCCATCAGGTCTCATACCTGACACACAGGAATGCTACATGCAGACAGTTAAGGAGCCCTGGCCTGCTGTGTCTCAGAGGAAGCACCCTCCTCTCAGCCTTTGGGGTTCATAGCGCTTACCTCTTCCATGAACTCTGCCCCCAACCCCCTTTACTTCCCCACAAAGTAGCTCCTGGGCCCCCTTAGCTGTTTGCCTGGCCCAACCAGAGTTGTGTCTGTATGTGTGCCGTCACCTTACAGAATGACCAGGTCAGAGAGAGGGAGAGCCAGGTCTCGCTCACCCTTGGGGACCCCTAAGGTACCTGGCACACAGCCTGGCCTAATGCCACAAAATAAATAAAAAGGGTGAAGGAGGGGAAAGGGGGAGCCACGTTGGTAACAAGTCACTGATTTGAAGAGGTTTCTGGTCTTGTTGGCTCAAGGCTGGGGACAGTGGTCACCGGCTCTGTCCTCTGCTGTAAGACACCTCTGTGTGAGCACAGAATGGCCAGATGTTTTCATTTGTCAACTGGCAACAGGAAAACTGAGCTGAAGGAAGAACCAAGAGCTTATCAAGGGCCTTCCCGTGGGTTCCAGGTGTTGTGTTTGAGATGTTCAGAGAGAGCCATCCACCAACCGGAACTCCACTGGGCAACAAGCCCTTCTTGGCACCAGTGGCTGCCTCTTATTGGAGGGAGAGGGACTCTGTGGAGCCCCAGAGCCCCACCTCAGTAGCCTTAATTCACAGGCAGGCAGAATTGCTGGCCAAGACTCGAGAGAGCCACAGGGAGGCTGCCCTCCACCTGCACCTTGCAGCTGACACTATTTGTGTCCCCACAGGGCTCTCCAGCCACGGGCAGCCAACCTCCTGTGGGAAGAAGCTCTGCAGCCGCGGGAGCCGGTGTGTGCTCAGCAGGGAGACTGGGGAGCCCGAGTGCCAGTGCCTGGAGGCCTGCAGGCCCAGCTACGTGCCGGTGTGCGGCTCCGATGGGGTTCTCTACGAGAACCACTGTGAGCTCCACCGTGCCGCCTGCCTGCTGGGCAAGAAGGTCATCGTCGTCCACAGCAAGGACTGTTTCCTCAAAGGTAGGGAGATGGCTTTCTACCCTGTGGCTTGGAACTTCATGATGGATTCCTTTTGACCAGGATGCTGGGTCTCCAGGTCACAACTGTAAAGCAAGGAAAGAGAAAGACTGGTACTTCGACAGAATGGCAGCTGCGACATTTCAGAGATGCATGTTCTCTCTGTATCCCACCTCCAGACACACACACACACACACACACACACACACACACACACACACACTCACCCTGAGAACAGAATCCAGGTAGGTCAAACCAAATCCTGGCTAGTACAGAACTTGTGTCCATTAGGGACCAAATAAACTAGTATTATCCCAGGATCCATATAAGGTGGACTCTGGCAAGGTGATGATAGGGACCATGTTTACCCCTCTGTCCCATGAATCAGGAAATCATACTGTCCATACACTGTGACTAGATGGACACCAGCACACTGGTTCTCAAGTTGTCCTGGAGCAGTTACTGACAGCAAATCATTCCATGCCTTGCCTGTCTGCCTCTGAACAAGATACATGGATGGCAAAACATGTCCGTGGAGATGGGACCAAAAGACTCCTGCTTTTGTGCTGGAGTTGGATCAGAAGAGAAAGGCCATATTGGCTTCTACTAGATGGTGAGGTAGGAACTCTGTTTAACACATTCATATATCTCAGCACCTAGCACAGTGCCTTAAGAAGATTCTCAGTGGCTCAGAGATGCTCACAGATATTAGAGTTAAGAAGCACATTGCTGTGTTGATGTGGCCCCAGTACATAGTATATGCCTTGGACTATATAAATAAAACAAAAGAACCATGCATGAATAAACTAGGAAATGTGTCGAAGGCAGAAGCACAATCTAGGCAGATGGAACAACCTCACATAGACCCAGCCAAGGGACATCAGAGGTGGCAGAGCACCCCTGGGATTGCATGAGGTCAAAGGCCTGATTTGGCCTTCTATAAAGGGGAGAGAGAAGAAGGATTAGAAGAGGGGCCTGCCATGTACCTGCAATGCTAGCCAACAATGGCTTCTAGTGGTCTGGGCTTTGAGGGGCCATGTACCCAAAATGAAGGTGCTGAGCTCAGCCTCACTCTTACAACCAACCCCTCAGTATGTGACTGTCCCCAGAATGTGCGTGTGGCACATGTTACATGTATGTGCAGGAGTAGTTGCAGCTGAGACAGGGAGCACAGGTGTTTTAACTTCTGCCACCTCTGCCACATGCCACTTGCCATTATGTAATGGGCCACTCTCCCACCATCATTCACCACCCGTGGCAGCGTGGGCCCTAGAAAGGAACATTTAGCCTGTGACGGGAATAGACTTGGACACTTTCATGGCTGTGCTTATGATGCTAATGCTGAGGTGCTTCAGAATCATGAGATGCATCATGGAAATGAAGCCAAAATGAGCCTAGGACAAATGTCTCTAGTCTGGAAATGCTGCCCAGCACATGCTTGCCAATTCCTTGGCAGCCGTGCACGCTAAAACACTTGACCAGTCGCTCCAGCTTTATTGGCCGTGTTGAATTTTATAGACTGATGTTCCATTCTCTGGTTTCCAATATCCCCCAAATTGCATCTTTCTGAAGGTTTTTATTTCTACATTGGAGTCTGCACTGCCTCCCTCACCATCGGTTATTCAAACAGCATTTCTCATTTCACACAAGGGAAAGAACAACAACCACAAAACCTGAGCGGTGAGGGATGATGAGGGCGAGCCAGGGAGCATGGGGGTGGGAGGGGAGCCTTGAGCAGATAAAGGGCTCAGCTCTGCTACATGCCGACTGAATCTATCCACTGAGTCCTTCTGATGAAATGAGTGTTCCATAGATTCTGTGAACAGTCACCCACTTAGTGGTGCAGAACTGCCCTCCTTGAGATCCCTCTTCAGTTTAGAGCAGAACCTGCAACTCAAAAAAAAAACAAAAAACAACTCGAGTTGCATCAGGCTTCCCAGCTGCCTGGCCTTGTGAACTTCCCTGGGCTATAAAATGGGGTTAGTGGCTATCCCTACCTGCTCCAGCTGTGGAAATAAAGGACATGCTGCACAAAGACCATATAGCCCAGTGCCTGACACATCACAAGTGTTCAGTATCAATGACATGCGCCATCATTGTTTATTCTAATCTAAACTGGCCACCGGCCTAGAGCAGTGAGATGCACAGACTGTGAAAGGAACACAGAGGCAGGAACACAGGCTTTGCTGGGAGGTTCTGGGGGATATTTAGGGGCCCAAATTGCTTAATGGTAAATGAAAAGCAGGCAGAGAAGGTACTGATTGTCAGCCCTGGATGCTGCCCTGGAGATGTCTAGCTGGAGCCAGGACTTTTTTTTTTTGCACACCTGGCCCCTGGGGTCTGCACTCCAGGAAAAGCCTCCAGGGCTCATGCTCGGGGTCAGCTCCAGACCTGGAAGGCTGCTTCTCTCCTCTCGCAGTCCTCTAGAGTGTGCCCAGTAGATAAGAAAGACCTGGCACCCACTAACAGGGGCTTATGGCAAGGGACAGGCCAGCCCTAAGGGGAGGAGTTTGGGATGAGCGCGTCCCCCACCTTCACCAGAGAGACAGCTCCAACTGGGAGCAAGAGAAAACAAATGACAGAGGCCCTGTTGAGAGTGGGGTGGGGGGTCTTGGGGACAGAGGAGATGTCAAGGACAACTTCCTATTGTCCATACCTTATAATGGCAGCATCTTGAGTTCCATGGATGACAATTTGTCATTTGTCCCAAATTTTCAGGGTGTTATTAATATAGGAAATTTAAAAACATCTTTTTTCCCCCAAGCCAACAAAAATTCTAGAATCATTCATCTTCTATTCTCTATCTACCAGACTTCACAAAAGAGAACTTAGAACTTTATTCTCTGGGACTTTTCTTCCCTTGGAAGCCAAAATGAGAACAATCCGTATGGGGCTGGAATGTGTAGCATAAGCAGGGAAGAAACAGCAGGTTATGCTGGACTGAGCCGCTGTAGTTTGGAGTTCATCCTCTGTGGCCAGGGTCCCGGAGCCCCTATGGGAAAGGTCTCTGCTGAAGACTGTTTGGGGACCCTTGCCATTCTGCATGAGCAAAGAGGTAGCATTCTAAACCCAATTTGTGAGATAACTTCTAGTATCACATTCCAGTTGCTATGGCAATGAGTTTCCTTGTAAATGTGGGATGAAAGACACTATCATTTAGGGATGATTAGCATGTGCGAAAATCAGACTGAACCCCAAAGCACAGCTCCAACTAGAGTCTGCATCTTTACACCTCCTGAGTCATAAACTCGGGGTGCCTCTTGCTGAAGGTCAGGGACAAGGAGGGTGACATGGAAAGAAGTCTTTCTTTTTTCTTACGGAAAAAAAATGAAGAGTTGCACATTTTCTCAGCACCAAATACTACCAAGAAAATGCCAAGATATTAGGTGAGATCCACTGTTGAACTCTACCCAGTTTGTGTTCTTAAAGTTCTCTTGTTATCAATGTTGCGTTCCTGTTTGTGGGCTAGTTGACACTTTTAAATTATTTTTCTGACTTGGCTTTACATCCTACCCTGTTCAAGAAGAGCTTGCCCTTCAGCAGACACTCACCAACCATGGTTGTTTTAATACCAGATGATGAAAAATCATGGTTGGCAGTTTTCCAATCAAATCATGAAATTATGGAAGAAAGGGGAACTCTTAGAGATTCAGTTTTAAGTGGATCCTTCAGCTTCCTCGGCCATATATTGTGTTTGCAAATATCTTTTGGTGCTTCTAAGGTGAATTCCCAAGCTAAGAAGTCAGAGGAAATCAGTCTCATTTGGAGAGAGAAAAAAATTAAACATTTACAGTCTTGCTAATCCTTTTTTTAAGTGTTACTAAGCAGGCATAAAGAACTCAACATTTTGTAGATAGATCTGGCTGGTGGTGGGGGGAGGGACCACCTTTTCTTTTCTTATGTTTATTTTGTTGTTACTTGAATCTTGAAACCTAAAGAACTAGGCTCCCTACCTGGGGGATGCACTGTTGTTCTTGCATAGGTCTTTTCTGCCTTACCAGGAAAAGATACTCACATCCTGGGCTGAGCAGCTCAGTCCAGCCCTGGGCAGGAGACCTACTCCTTAGGATGTGTGAAATCCCACAGCAGGCTGTGATGCTCTCGAAAATGACAGGGGATTGTTTTAGCTTTGTCAGAGCAGTCCCTGCAGCAGAGAAGTGCTAAGGCAGGGCTAGGCTGATAAGGCAAAGAGCCAGCCCACACCATACTCTTAAGCAAGGCTTGCCATGTGTCCCTTACCTCATCTGTAAAATGGGAACAATAACAACACCTACCTCACAGAGTATTTTCATGACGTTCAATGGGCTGTGCCTGCCTGTAAAGAGCACTCCTCTCTAACAGGTAGCAACAGCCTCTAGATGTTGATGATGTCATTGCAAACACTGGGAAACATTCAAGGGGCAGATGCAAGTGGCTTTTGTGACAATGCTAGATATGAACCAAAAAGCTGATGGGTCCTCCTATGAGTGAGGAAAGAGAAGAACATTGGTCCTCCATATTTGTTACTGAATGATTAGATTTTGACTTTCAATTGGTCAAATGGAATTGACACTTCCACCAACTGGCTCACTCTTTGAAAAGATAAGTAATTGAGACACCTGAGCATCTAGTGGGTTAATAGAGAAGCAAGAGGAGAACCAAGTGTCCCTGATTCCCAGCACAAAAGAAGTTCCTGATATGCATAAAAATCTCAGAAAATGTCAGTGCAGCAAGAGGAAGGGATCTATCAGCTTGAGGATATAAGGGGAATGTTTAGAGAAGATGCCAGAAGAAATATTCAAGAAAGATCTTGAAGTTGGGCACGGTGGTGCATGCCTGTAATCCCAGTGACTCAGGAGACTGAGGCAGGAGGATTTGGAGTTCAAAGTCAGCCTCAGAAACTTAGCAAGGCCCTAAGCAACTCAGCGAGATCCTGTTTCTAAATAAAATATTTAAAAGGGCTGGGAATGTGGCTCAGTGGTTAAAGCCCCAGGGTTCAATCCCCAGTACCAAAAAAGAAGAAG